GTTTTTTCACAGGAAGGAATTAAACCTGAGTGTTAGAGGAGCCAGGGCTAAAAATAGACTGGCAGATGCCCTCTGAAAATCCTCATTCCTGCCGTGTCTGAGCAAATTTCCCATGGCTTTTCCACAGCAGAAACATGAGGAATGCTGCTGTTCACTGCCTGATCCTGAATTTTGCTAGGAATGTCTAAAACACTCACAGATGCCCTCTGAAAATCCACATTTCTGCAGTGTCTGAGCAAATTTCCATGATTTTCCACAAAAAAACCCATGAGAAATGCTGCTGTTCCCTGCCTGATTCCAAATCCAGTCAGGAATGCCTAAAACATCCACAGATATCCTTTGAAAATTCATATTCCTGCAGCTTTTGAGTGATTCGTCCATGACTTCTCCACAGGAAAAACATAAGGAATGTTGCTGTTTACTGCCTGATCCTGATTCTAGTCAGGAACCCCTAAAACATGCCATCAGAATCAGGAAAAGTCCTTGTTAATATCAATTTTTGTCTTTTCAGGCTCTAAAATTCTCATTTGCATCCATCAGATTTCCATTCCATTCCCCCATTAACATCCATGGGATTCCCATTAATTCCCATTAACATCCATGGGATTCCCATTAATTCCCCCATTCACACCCATGGGATTCCCATTCCATTCCCCCATTCACACCCATGGGATCCCCATTCCCTACTCCCCATTCACATCCATGGAATTCCTATTCATTTCCCCCATTCACACTCATGGGATTCCCATTCCTTTCCCTGCTCCCTATTCACATCCATGGGATTCCCATTAATTCCCCCATTCACACCAATGGGATTCCCATTCCATTCCCTCACTCAGATCCATGGGATTCCCATTCCCTACTCCCCATTCCGTGGGATTCCCATTAATTCCCCCATTCACATCCATGGGATTCCCATTAATTCCCCCATTCACACCAACAGGATTCCCATTCATTCCCCCATTAACTTTCATGGGATTCCCTTCACATCCATGGAATTCCTATCCCATTCTCCCACTCACACCAATGGAATTCCCATTCCATTCCGCCATTCATATCCATGGGATTTCCATTCCATTCTCCCATTCACACCATGGGATTCCCATTAATTCCCCCATTCAAATCCATAGAATTCCCATCCCATTCCCTGCCCAGAACCTCACTCCAGCAGGAAACACTTCCCACGTAAAGAAAGGTCTCCCACGAATCCCTGATTACCAGAAAACAGAATTTTGCCCCGATTTGTACTCCCTCAATCACCTCCCTGGGTTCCAACCAACCCTCAGAGGTGCTGAAGCTCCTCCCACATTTTTCCTTGGAACCAGAGGATTTTTTTCCATCTGTTCTTTTTCCCTGGAAAGGATCAGGCTGTTGGCTTTTCCTCACCTATGTGCTGTCCATACATGTGATAGTAGAAGCTGAAGCAGTAGGCTGTGTTGGTGGCTCCGTAGGGATTTTTGGGAGCGACGCTGAAAACGGGACTGACGAGCCGGGCTTTCTCCCCTTCCAGCCTGGGCCGGGACGTCTCRATGTACATGTAAAAACCTGGGAAAATCCAATGGGAAATCCTTGGGATGGGGTCCTCAACACTCAACAGGGAGAGAAATTCTTGGGATGGGGTTCTAAACCCCAAGAGATGGAAATCCTTGGGATGAGGCCTTAAAAATATTTGGGATGAGGCTTTCAAAACCAAACACAGAAGGAAATTCTTGGGATGAGGCCTTCAACACCCAGAATGGATGGAAATCCTTGGGATGAGGCCCCAAACACCCAACATGGAAGGAAAACCTTGGGATGAGGTCTTAAAACCCAACAGAGATGGAAATTCTTGGGATGGGGACCTAAAATGTAACATGAATGGAAATCCCTGGGAGGAGGCCTTCAAAATCCAACAGGGATAGAAATCCTTGGGATTAGGCCCTCAAAACCCAGAATGGATGGAAATCCATGGGATGAGGCCCCAAACATCCAACATGGATGGAAATTCTTGGGATGGGGCCCTCAACACCCAACAGGGATGAAAATCTTTGGGATGGGGACCTCAAACCCAACAAAGACAGAAATCCCTGGGATGAGGTCTTGAAAATACTTGGGATGAGGCCTTCAAAACCCAACACAGATGAAAATTCTTGGGATGAAGCCTTAAAACCCAACAGAGATGGAAATCCTTGGGATGGGGCCCTCAACAACCAACAGGGAGAAAAATCCTTGGGATGAGACCCTAAAACTCAACAGAGATGGAAATCCCTGGGATAAGGCCTTCAAAACTCAACACAGAAGAAATCCTTGGGATGGGGCCCTCAACTTGGGAGAGAAATCCTGGGGATGAGGCCTTCAAAACCCACCAGGGAGAGAAATCTTTGGGATGAGGCTTTAAAACCCAACAGAGATAGAAATCCTTGGAATGAGGCTATGGAAGTCCATGTGATGAGGCCCCAAAAATTCAGCATGGGAGGAAATCCTTGAGATGAGGCCTTAAAACCCAACAGAGATGGAAATCCTTGGGATGAGGCCCTCAACACTCAAGAGAGATGGAAATTCTTGGGATTGGGCCCTAAAACCCAACACAGATGGAAATCCCTAGGATGAGGCCTTTGAAATCCTTAGGGATGAGGCCCTCAACACCCAAAATGGAAGAAAATCCTTCGGATAAGGCCCTCAAAACCCAACAGAGATGAAAATCTTTGGGATGGGGACCTAAAACCCAACAGGGATGGAAATCCTTGGGATGATGCCTTAAAACCCAACAAAGATGGAAATCCAAGGGATGAGGCTTTTGATATCCTTGGGACGAGGCCTTCAAAACCCAACAGAGTTGGAAAACCTTGGAATGAGGTTCTGAACTCCTAACATGGATGGAAATTCTTGGGGTGGGGCCCTAAAACCCAACATGGATGGAAGTCCTTGGGATGAGGCCTTGGGAATTTTTAGGGACGAGGCCCTGAACACCCAAAATGGATGGAAATCCTTCAGATGAGGCCCTCAAAACCCAACAGAGATGGAAATCCTTGGGATGAGGCCTTGGAAATTCTTGGGATGGGGCCCTAAAACCCAACACAGATGGAAATCCCTGGGACAAGGCCTTGGAAATCCTTAGAGATGAGGCTTTCAACACCCAACATGGATGGAAATCCTTGGGATAAGGCCCTCAACACCCAGCAGGGATGAAAACCTTTGGGATAGGGTCTTAAAACCCAACACAAATGGAAATCCTTGGGATGAGGCCCTCAACATTCAACATGGAAAGAAATCCATGGGATGAGGTCTTAAAACCCAACAAAGATGGAAATCCAAGGGATGAGGCCTTTGATATCCTTGGGACAAGGCCTTCAAAACCCAACAAGGATGGAAATCCTTGGGATGAGGCCTTGGGAATTTTTAGGGACGAGGCCCNGAGGCCTTCAAAACCCAGAATAAATGGAAATCCTTGGGATGATGCCCTCAACAGCCAACAAAAAATGAAAATCCTTGGGATGGGGTCTTAAAACCCAACACAAATGGAAATTTTTGGGATGAGGCCCTCAACATTCAACATGGAAGGAAATCCTTAGGATGAGGCCTTAAAACCCAACAAAGATGGAAATCCAAGGGATGAGGCCTTCAATATCCTTGGGATGAGGCCTTCAAAACCCAACAGGGATGGAAATCCTTGGGATGAGGCCCTCAACAAAGGGGGGATTGATGGGATCTTGGGAATTTCTGTCTGGGAGGGTGGGGAGGGGCTGGGATGGAGTTCCACCCCTGGATCCCTTTGAGTGCCCAAGGCCAGACCGGAGCCCCCTGGGACAGTGGAAAATGTCCCTGCCATGGATGGGGTGGGAAAAGATGAATTTAAATCCTTCCCAACCCCAACCAATCCRTAATTCCATGACCAGGAAAAGGCTGAATTGTCCATCCTGGACCATTCCCTCATCCCAAACTCCTCCCCGTGGGAATCTCACCCTCCTTGGAGCCGGTGCGATCGGCGTTGGGCCCCGTGTTYGGGGTGTACTTGGTGTCCCTGGTGGCAGTGCTCTGTTTTGTCCAGTCAAAGTTGTCCGTGTCATCTTGAGTGAAAAGGCAAATGTTCCCATCCTCGAAGCCGCAGTGGAACTCTCCTGCCAAAAAAAACTGGGAATTTAGCGGCCAAAGTTTTCYCTCCCATCCGAATTTTTCAAATTCCTCATCAATTGTAAACAATTTTCTTGTGCAGCAATTTCAATCAAAAAATAAATCGGGGTCGTCAATCTCTGCTGATGCTTGAAATTATTTTTTTTTTTGAGCTTTTCACACACTCAAATTTTTGCAGTTGTTTTTAGAGGTGTTGTCTCTTCTGGGAAGAATGGGCAGTGCATCCATGAAACACGAAATATGGGGGGAAAAATTTGGAATTGGGTTAATTTGGATTAGGGAAAGAGCAACAGGGAAAAGAGTCCAGCAGCTTCTCAAAATGTAAACATTATCTCTGAGTGGTGTTTCCTAAATTATCCTTAATTTCCAGAGGGATGGGGAAGGAGGAAATGGCTAAAATGAGGCAAAGGAGCTTTGGGATGGAAATGAGGAAAATCCCTAAAAATCAGGACMTGGAGGGATTGCCAGGAAGAGCAGTGAGTTCCCATCACTGGATTATCAGAACAAATTCCTGGCAGGAATATCTGGATCCATATGGGAAGGAGAGGTGACTGTATCATGTCCTGAACACATTTCCTGGATTTCCCTGAGATTTTTGGGAGGTCAGAATAAAGAATAAAAATGACCCAGAACCCCAGCGAGGATTCCTGGGATGCTCCCCTGTGTGAAATTGTGAGAATGCAACGATCTGCCCTGAAAGGGTTATGATGGGATGAGAAATTCCTGCTGGAATTTAAGAACCAAAACCAACCCAGGATTGTGAAACCCAATCCTATAAAACCTCAAATGCAGTTCCCAGACACTTCCTTGGCTGTCAGCGCCTCGAGCAGATCCTCTTGGATTCCCAGAAAATCCATCAACACCACCAGATCCTCCAGGAGAGTTCAGTTCCTAAAGCACAGCTCCCTAATGGGCACCCATAGCCAGGATCTGGGATTCCCATTATCCCAAATAACCTCAGCACRGTGGGAGCCGGTTTTAGGATCAGAGAAGGAATTCYTGGYTGGGAGGGGCTGGGATGGAATTGCAGCCCTGGATCCCTTTGAGTGCCCAAGGCCAGGCTGGACATTGGGGCTGGGAGCAGCCTGGGACAGTGGGAGGGGTCCCCTGGGAATGGGATGGGATTTAAGGTCCCACCATCCCAAAGCAGCCCCTGATCCTATGAAAGTGATTACACCCAAAATCCTTCAAGAGAGAAAACAGCCAATCAACATTTCTCATCCAAGATAGGGAAGGGAACGCCAAGACCCTGCCAAAGCCCTTGGAATACTCCAGAACTCAAAGAAACCCCCTGAGCACAGTTCCAGCCATTCCTCTCACCTCCAGAAATTCTTTTTGCACCACCTGAGCCCCAAATTAACCTGATTTACCCCAAATTTTGTGCATTTCACTTCCACCTCCATTCACCCAACCCCTTCCTGCAGCACCAAAATTGCTGCTCCTCCGAAAAGCGATGAAATGAAAAGGCAAAAATATCAGAGAAGGAGAAAAGTTTTGATTCCCAGATCTGATCCTGGAGCGAAGGGAACCAACAGAGAGAATTTTCTGCCACTCAGCACTTTCTGSCCCTCCGGTGCCTCAAGAGCTGCATCAATTAGTTGTGTCCTCGGAGCTTCGTTAAGAAATTCCACATCAGCAGAATGAAAGTTCTTTTTTTTCCTCAGGTTAAAAAAAAAATAAAATAAATATTCAAGCCAGATGGGGAAAAAAACAGAGAAAAAAGTCAAAGTTTGCCATTTATTGAATAGGCAAACATTGATTTCACATTGAATACCTTGGAAAAGGTTAATGTGAAATGTTCTGGGCACTGAACACCTCCTGAAAAATGACAGAAGAAAAATGGGGAGGAGATGCCTAGGCTTTGTTCCATCCTTTTATAGGAGCAGTTAAATTGGGATGGGGATGGTCTTGATCAGTGAATTATGGAGCAGGAGGAGCAGGAAATTGTTCCACATGTGCTCCATTTTGGCCCTAATGATGGTGCTAATTACCCTTAATGAAGTAATGAGGTAATGAGGCCCCTGGCAGCTCTGGGAGTGGATTCAGGTCACCAATCATTTCCTGGCCAATCAGGGCAAAAGCTGAAGCTGCTCTGGGGGTGAAACCCTTAATTGGGGTGGGGATTTGTGCCAACTCTTCCCACAAAATTCCAGCCGGATGTGACTCCCCATTATTCATCTCATTGTACAAATCCATCTCAAATCCTTTTGGTTTACATGAAATGGGTTCTGTTGGGTGGTAAAAAATGAAATGGGGATCTGAGGTTCCACCTGGGAGCTGAAGCCTTTTGATGCTGCTTTCTCGGGTACAGTAGAAATTGCATAAAAAAAAAAGAAGGATTTAGGGAATGGGATCATTCCGGAGTTAAGCAGGAAGAGCACGGCTTCTGTTTCGGTGATCCCATTCCATTCCCTGCCTTGTCCTGCTTGGATCCAGGAATCTTGGAATCTTGTCCTGGCTGGATCCAAAAATCCTGGAATCTTGTCCTGGCTGGATCCAGGAATTTTGGAATCTTGTCCTGGCTGGATCCAGGAATTTTGGAATCTTGTCCTGGTTGGATTCAGGAATACTGGAATCTTGTCCTGGATGGATCCAGGAATTTTGGAATCTTGTCGTGGTTGGATCCAGAAATTGTGGAATCTTATCCTGATTGGATCCAGGAATCTTGGAACCTTTTTCTGGTTGGATCCAGGAATTTTGGAATCTTGTCCTGGTTGGATCCAGCTCTTCCTCTTCATTCACAACGGTGTAAATAAACCCAGGAATTGGCCCAAGAGGTTTAGGAACAACACGGATTTTTTGAGAAGTGCAGAAAAGGGAGCTGGGAAGGGTCTGGAGAACTTTTGAGGGAGCTGGGAAAGGGCTGAGCCTGGAGCAAATGGGGATCAGGGGGGACCTTGTGGGGCTCTGCTCCAGGGAACAGGGACAGGAGGAGAGGGAACGGCCTCGGGCTGGGCCAGGGTGGATTTTCGGGATAATTTATCCATGAAAAGGGTTGGCAGGCACTGGAAGTGCCTAGGGCAGGGGTGGATCCCCATCCCTGGGGGATTTGAAGCCCTGTGCAGGTGGCATTTGGGGACAGGGGGCTGTGGTGGCCCTGAGGAACGGGGGTGGGATGCAGAGTGGGATTTCTTCCCTACCAGAGGATTCCACTACAAAATCCTTCACAGAAAAGAAGCAAAGCACAATTCTCCCGTGGCTTTGGCCACCCSAAAGGGGTGACCCTGGGGACCCTGCAGCACAAACATTCCCATCCTTCCCCTGAGCCAACACATTCCCTATTCCCGTCCAGACATCGCCCACATTCCACCAGGAAAAACTTCTGGAAAATCACTTTGAGATCTCCCACATTCCACCAGGAGCTCACAAAACTTCTGGAAAATCACTTTGAGATCTTAAACTCCCAGAGGAGCGTGAAGCACTTGGGATTGTCTTTTTTCTTCCCATCAGAGTCCAGATTTCATCTCCTAATTAGCAAGAGTCTCATTCCCAGCTGGTTAGGCTCTGTGGGAGAGGTTCCTGCAGCTCCTGGCAGCTTTGAGCTAAGCCCGGCTTAATTAAGAACGTGTCAGATGAGATCTTCTGAAAAGGAGGTTCAGATTTACACCAAGGCTGGAATTTGAGTCTGAGGGATGGAGCAGAGCCCARTCCTGCCTGATGGACAGGAAAAACAGGAGACTGGACCTCGTTCCTTAGGCAGGAATATTTTTGGGATTAAAAAAAAAAAAAATTAAATTAAAAGCCAGAACGTGCTGTGACCAAAAAATCCAGATTTGTTGGGGTTTGGGAGAAGAGGATGAAGCAGAGGTGTGGAAATGGGCAGGAATAGWGGGGTTTTAGTGGGATGTGCCCAAATTCCTGCCTGGGATGTTTCCAGGGATTTGGAGCCCGTGGAAAAAAGAAAGAATGAAGTGAAACTGAAGCCATTTCCAGCCTGGGACATCCCCGATCCCATCCAATCCCATCAGAGTTTGCATTTCCAGCCATTCCCGATGAGTTCTGTCCCAAAAATTTGTGGAGATCCAAGTYCTGCTTTGGGTCTCCACATTCCTCTGTGCAATGAATTCAGAATTCCTGGAGCTCTGCAGGAAAATCCTTCTTTATGTTTTCCCTCTGCAGAGGAGCTCCTGAACCATGGAAAGAACTGAGGAACGACAAGAAAAGGTTCTGGGAGAACTTTYCGGATTTAAATGGGATTTTGGGAATTGGGAATTCCTGGTTGGGAGGGAGGTGAGGCCCTGGCATGGATTGAACGATTGCAAGTTCTTCATAAATAAAAGATAAAAAGATCAATACTCACGTAGGTGTGGATTCACTGGAGCTGGAAAACAAAGGGAAAATTGAATGAATTAAATTAAAATTCAATAAAAATTTAATTCAATTTAAATTGAACTAAAAAGAAAAAAAATCCCAATTCCTCAATATTCCGATTATCCTGAATGATCCAATTCTCTTTGTCGGATATGGAAATTCATCTACTTCACACCTGACCAGGCTGGAACAGAATAAAAGCCAAATTTTCACAATATCCTAAACACAGAAATGGCTTCCCAGGTTTAGTCCAGAGGAATCCACAATGCTAAAAACTGGGAATGGGTTGGAAGGAGGAATTGGTCTGTGGCTCGGGGATAAATTGGAGGAGGGATGATTTTGGGAAAAACCCTTCTTCTGCAGTCCCAACCATGTGGGAAGCTGCAGGATGCTGAGCCCAGAGCTGGAATTGCAAATTATTCACCCAAAATCCCAAATTCAATTTGATCCCAAATTAACGGGGACATCTGRCAATGCCAGAGCATCTCTCCAGTTTTTTTTTTTCCCTTGGTTTAATCCCAGCATCCAGCAAAACCCAAAATTCAATCTGGAATTGTCACAGCAGCCCTAAATTAGCCCCGAACGGGAGCGGCCATTTCCTCCACTGTAATCACCCTAAAAACGCAATTGTCKCGTCTTTTACCTACAAATTACCCCTGATTCTCCAAAAAACCTTCATTTCTGAGATCTCTGAGTGATTGAGCCTGGAATTAGCTGCAATTCCCGGGAGCTGCAGTGACTGAGGGTTGATTTGGGACTGAATGGATGGGAAATATCATCGGGGTGTAAACGCGAGTCACAGTTGGGATTGTTCAGAGAGGAGAAAACCAACCCCTGTCAC